GGTCTGTAATTTCTGCAAGAAGAGGAGGAAGCTATGGGTCTGGGGTTTTTTTATTACACACCTTATATGATTTTGTAAACAGTGTGCTTTGGAAAGGAAGAGAGGGAACAGGAGTGATATGGTCAGATCTGCATTTTAGCATGATCACCACGGTCTGGTGTCTGAGTGTGGATGCAAAGGTGGAGAAGCAAAGTCAGTGAGGCCAGCTAGCAAGCTGTTATGACATTAAGAGTCATAATAAAAATGAAAAAGTGGAGAAAACTAGAGATGAGAGATTGAGGTGACAAGTCTCGCTGGGTAAAGCAGAAAGGCAGATATTGTACTAGATAGTAACTTGCCATCTTCACTTCTCTCTCTTCTCTCTCCACCTTGCCTTGATCAAGCTAAGCCCTCTGTTCCAGAGGTTTCTGGCCCCACTAAACGGGCCAGCCCAGGTGAGGCAGTGAATCTCACCTGCAGATCAACTGGCTTCTTTCCCAAACACATACAACTGAAATGGTTTAAAAATGGCGTGGAGCTTCCAGCCCATCAGACTCTCATCTTCCTGCCTGGAGATGCTTCCTCCTACACCATTGTCAGCATCGCCCTGGTGACCCTTGACTTGTCCTCACTCCACTCCCAGGTCACCTGCCAAGTGACTCACAGTGAACTGCAAAGGCCCCTCAGTGGACGTGTGAACATCTCTGAATTCCTTCAAGGTAAGAGCCCCAGCCACACAACCCCATGGCCAAACCTAGGTGACCTCCACCTGTTCCGTTTGGCACACCTCACCTGAGTCCCCCTATTCATTCTTCACCAAGACCCATGTGAGGTGGGTACGAGGTTCCCTATTGTATATGACCATCTTATTCCTTTGAATGCCATAATTGGGTCCTTCTCTTTCAGAGCTCCCTTCCCTCTAGTGTATTTGGGAGATGGGAGTTCATTCATTCAACAAGGATTTACTGAGCATCTGCTGTGTAGTGCATTATTCTAGATGCTGGGAATTCCATGGTAAACAGAACAGACCTGGTTCTGCCTCACTGACTTCACAGTCATGTGAATCTCATCAGCCAAGATGCAAACAATTATATGGTATAACTTGTAACATTTGCTGTGAGGGGAAGACAGAGCACTGAAATAGATGAAAATAGGCAAAATCTAGCTTACTCGAAGAGTGCGTGAAAAAGGAAATGGGTGGAGAGAAATCACAGGGATCAGATCACACAGGGCTTCTGGGCCACAACAAGGAAGCTTCTCCCACTTGGACGCTCAGGTGGACTCCTAAAACATGGTCCAAACCACCACACCACCACTGCTTTGGTGCCCATCACTGCCTTTGAAACACACTTCCTGAACCCACCCTGGCATCAAGGGAGGGGACAATGCAGGCAATGCCACACTCCACCTTTCTTGCTCTGAGCTCATAAAGACAAACCTGCTACTTTGGTGTCGAATCAAGACTTCACATCAGCTTGCTCAACATTTGCTTAAATAGTCACTCAGAACATAACTCCTGGAATATTACAAATGTTCCATCACTCTGAAAATGTTCAATGGAAAAGTGACATCGTGGTGATTTGCTTCCCACCATCATCCATTTCAACAAACAAAATAAGGTTTTCTTTGACAACCAGAATCTATACATATATTCATCCCTTTTATTCCTGAGTTTATATTTCCATTCTAATTCTTGCAGAGAACTTTATCCTAGGATAGCATATTTTATATGTGGAAATCTTTTCTGGGCCAAAAATTGCACATATAGAGAACTATGAGAACACAGAGAACTACAAATTTATGTATATAATGTGTATGTATATGTGTATAAAATATGTATATAAATTAAATTTATTTGATTTTTTTCTTATGAACTAAGGATTTAAGTATTTAAAAGATTCTTTTGGATTGAACTGCATAATTGATCAAAACAATCTAGACATATGACAAATTTTGACAAATAATGATTAAAATAACAGTTAAAATTATATCAGAAAGGCAGTTCAGTGAGATAAATGGAGGAGCTATTTGATAAATCAGGGTTTCTGGTCAACAATATTTTGAAGTGTCCTTTTGTTTTGTGTCCCAAAGTCTTTACACCAAGGACAGTGCACCATAGTTAGTTTCGAGATGGGTGAGAGAAAAGGTTTTTTTTTTTTTTGTAACGCTGGAGAAGTAGAGTTAAGAAACAGTGAAGGATCTGGTCTTAGTTGCAATTTTAGGAAAGAGTCATACAAGGGCTCAGGATCTGGAAATCAACTATATTAAACTCTCAGTGTAGGTGCTCTTTAGGAAGTTGCAGGTGACCCCAGGGTACTTGTAGCAGCAGTTAAGTGCAGACAGTCTTCAAAGTGGCTATGACCCTGGCTTCATCTTGCTTACATTCCCCCTACTCACCCTGAGCACCCTTCTGTCCTTGCAACATGCTAGGCATCCCCTCAGGGCCACTGCACGTGCCCTGCCCTTTGCCTGAGATGCACCTCCACACACACAGCCGCTCCCAGGGCCCTCCCTCCTTTGTATCGCCCTCCACCAGCCCCTCTGCCTAATGTTCCAGTTACCAGGGCTGCATTATCCCAAACTTATCCTGATATTCTAAACCTACTCCAAATCCTCAAAATTATTATGCTCACACGTTCTGTACTTCAGGAAATTCAGACAGGACCCGGTAAGGATGTTTCTGCTCTATTACATCTGGGACCTCAGCTGGACAGTTAGAGGCTGGAATCATATGAAGGCTCTATCACTAACATGTCGAGCCTCTGGTGCTGGCTGTCGGCTTGGGGCCTCAGTTCTTGACACAAGCTTCTCCTTATCATCTTTCCACATAGGCTAGTTTGGGCTTCCACAAACCTTTGTGGCTGTGTCCCAAAGGTGAGTGCCCCAAGATTCCCAGACAGAAGCCATATCGACTTTTATAACCCAGCCTTGGACGTCACACAGTGTCACCTCTGCAGCATTCTCTTCCTCGTGTCGTGCATTGAAAAGTAGCCTCCCCCAGGTTCCCAGGGAGCAGAAGTAGTCTCCCCCACTGATCGGAGGGGCGGGGTTCTGTATGACATTGTATGGCTTGCTGTGACCATTTTGGAAAACACAATCAGCCACGTGTAGTTCACTTCTATTCATCTTTCAAATTTCTGCTCAAATGCCACTTCATCCAGAAACTCTTCCCTACCTGCCCCACTTCCAGACCAGGTCAGGTGCCCCTAAAGGCTCTCATAACCTGTATGGGGGTCATGTGAATGCTTTTTCCTCCCTGTTCTCCTTACCAGACTGGGCCCTCCGTGAGGCAGGACCATGTCTGTCTTTGCTCACTGCTGTATCCTAAGAACTGAGAGTAACTGGCTATAATGGCATGGATGCTCCTTAGGCATCTTTTGCATGAAGGAAGAAGTAACGAAGGGAGGCCTGTTGTTTCAGTTGTCCCCACAGTGAACATATCAGCTCACGGTGTCCCAAGCCTCCAGGTGACCATTCTCACCTGCCACGTGCAAAGGTTTTACCCAGAAGTCATACAAATCATCTGGCAGGAGAGGAACAGACGATTCAAGTCTTATGAGGCCTTCGCCCCCACCAAGAACCCAGATGGCACATTCAGCCAAGACAGTCATATCCTGGTCAGCACCTCAGAGGACAAAAGGCTGTTCACCTGCCAAGTGTGGCGTGAGGACCAGACACTGGTCCAGACCAGCGTGCAGCTGAGCGAGCTTACAGAAGAGCAAGCCAGTTTGGGTAAGTAAGGGTGGAATAACCAAGCAGTTAAAGAGTTAAACCTGGAGACAGACAGGCCAGGCTTAAATGCCGGCTCAGCCACATCTGCCATGTGTGTGACCTTGGGAAGACCACTTCACCTTCCTGAAACTCAGTTTCTTCATCTATAAACTGGAACAGCAAATACAGCTACCTCTACACACTGTGAAGCCTTAGGTACCAAACAGCAGCAAGCACCACTTTATCACACAGCTGCATCCTAATGACACATCCCCTTTACCAGATATTCTTGGGTGGGGAGGATTTAGCTCAGAGGTAGGGCGCATGCTTAGCATGCATGAGGTCCTGGGTTTAATCCCCAGTACCTCCATATAAATAAATAAATAAACAAATAAAAACCTAATTATCTCCCCCAGAAAAAACAAAACAAACCAGCTATTCTTGTGAATAACTAAGTTAACATGAAATTTCTTTCACCAATTCCCATCCATCTTCCCAAAAGCCATTCAGATTCAACAATTACTGAGTACCTATTAGGAATTTTGCTGGGTGCTCTCATTTGATATACAAAAATGATCTAAGGTACATGTTATAATCCCCATTTTAAAGATTAGGAAACTATGGCTCAGAGAGGAAAGGTGACTTCCTCCAGGACCAAGGTGTGGTCTTGTTACCTGAGTCTGGGGTGGACTGAGCCTGGGGTGGCAGAGTGATGGGAGCAGGAAGTCAGGTTCATCCTGATATCTTCCTGTCACCAGGTGCCACAGCATCCAGCTCCCTCTTTGGGACCCTCCTCCTGCTTGGCTGGAAGTTGTTTCTCCTGACTACAGTTTCCATCATCTATGTCCTCAGGAGGACCCTCCCTTCCAGGTAAACTGGAGACCCCAGAGAGGGCTTGGGCTCCCAGGGGTGGGACTCCAGGCCAACAGGGGGCACTGTGAGGAGAGGCCACAAGGTGCTTCCATTTCTCCTCTACCTTGAAGGCAAGTTGAATCCAGCAGGTCCCTGAGAACAGCACCCCAATTTCCTCAGTCTTCCCTTCTGACTCTCACAGCTCCAGTCTGAGGATGCAGAAAGATGCAGGCTCCCTTGGTCTGGGCAGGGGTGGGGGAGCACTTAAGGAGGGACATAAAGGAGTTAGTATAGAGAGAACGCTTGTGAGGTGGCCTCTGAGGAGAAGTTTGAGAAGAACAAAGGCTTTGCCCCAGCTCCCTGCTTCCTCTGTAGGCCAAGGCACTGTGAGCCCCCCCTCAGTGACATAGGACCCTTGTCTCCTCCTGTCTTATTCAGGAGAACTGATCCAGGAGGACCACTTCCCATGATGTCCGTAGCCTCTACCCCATTTTTCCCTGCCACACCAGCCTTCTGAGACCTGTCCAGCACTGGCTGCCCCTCCCTGTCTCCTGCAGCCCCAGAGGAGGTGAGAGCCTGGACCAGAAAGTCAGTAGTGAGAGGTGGCCTCTCATGTCCTAGCTAGGAGTGAGGCTTCTGTGGACACCTGACCTGAGCAAGAAATCCAGCAGAGGCAGGACAGGCTTCTACCAGGAAGAAACATATGTGCGATCCTGAAGGCGTCTTCCAGCCCCTCAAGGAAAGCCCATTGTGGGCCCCCAAACTAGCATGAAACCTTTAAAACCCCTTCATTAGAATGATATTAAAGGAAATACTTATGGCCAGCAAACACATAAAGAGACACACAATCCCATTAGTGATCAGAAAAGGCCAAAGCAAGACCACACTGAAATGGCAATTCACCTTCTCTTACATTGCTGATGGCCACATAAATTGGCACAGATGCTTTGGATAACAGTCTGAAAATGTTTAAGTTGAACATTCACATGCCCCATAACCAGGCATCTCCACACCTTGGTTGTTCCCCCAAAGAAACTCTTGTACATGGACACCAGGAGATACGTACAAATATATACATGCTAGCATAGTTTAAAATTACCAAAACCTGAAAACAGTCCCAATGCTCATCTACAAGATGATGAACAAGTAGTTAAGTACAATTACAGATGAAATGTTCTACAGCAATAAAAATAAATAAATCAACAGCTATACAGATAATATGGATTAGCCTTAGCAAAAAAACAAAATTAGGTACGTAAGCCTCCAAACATTTTATAAAACATGATATATGACAAAACCATATATTTTTAAAAAGGAACAATATATACAAAATTTTAAATAGGAGTTGTCTGAAGTGGAAAAAGGCAGATGAATGGAAAAGGTGGATACATACAGTTTTAAGTTCATGTCAGGGTTCTAGATTCCAGGCTGGGGACTGGCTTTACAAATAATTGCTCATCTCAAAGGAGGTTGTGCCTTCATTTATTCCACAAATATTACTGAGCTTATGCTATGCAACAGGCACTGTAATAGACACAAGGGAAACACTGGTACTGACGGTCCCCACCCTTGAGGAGTTTACAGTGTGATGAGGACAGACAGAAAAGAAAGGAGAGAGGGAAGAATGGGGAGGGAATGAAGGAGGGGAAACTTTGGAAGAAATAAACAAGAAGGTGATGAGAGATCTGAAGAAAATAAAAGGGTGCACAGAATGGGCATTTCAATGATAGAGCTCTCCACAGGGGTCGGGAATTAAGTGTCTGCTACCTAGAAAGAATGGTAGAGAAAGCCTTTCTGAGAAAGGAATCTCAAAAAGGCTTATCTAAAATTTGCAATAGCCTGGGGGAAATACTCTCTTGTTAATGGGAGCCCACAGTGCCAAGCCCTGAGGTACAGGGAACGTGGAGTGTTCAAAGAGGAAGGGGGCCAGTGGAGCAGGAATTTGACAGTAATGGGATATGGAACAATGCTGAAGAAACAGGCAGGAGCCAATCACACACAGCTATCTGCCATGGTAGGGAATGTGGATTTTATTCAAAGAAGAACGGAAAGACATTAGAGTTTTAATTGACAGAGCAAACTGCAATATCTGATTTAGAATTCTGGAAATCACCATGACACCTGTGCCCTAAATAGATTAGAGAGAAACAAGGAGTCAGAAATCAGATGTGTGGTTACTGCACCTAACCAGGGAGCAGTGAAGGTGACCTGAGCTATGGCAGTGCCAGCAGAGTTGGAGAGAAATTGACTAATGTGAGGTGTATTTAAAGACAAATGACCAGAAATGTTTGGGAACTGAATGTGAAAGGCAATGGAGAGGGAGGAGTCGGGGGTGGCTTCCTGGCAAGATTGAGCAATGGATGAGATGGAGAAGACAGGAGGAAGAATAGGTTGGTGATGTGAACTACAGGTTCAGTGTTGAACATGTTAAACATAACGTTTGTTCATCGTCCTAGTGCAGATGTTGAGTAGGCAGATGGGCATATATGTTTCTAGCTCAAGAGAGGGGTCAGAGCTGGAGAGATATTTTTAGTCATTAGGTCTGTAAAACTGGTTGCCAGGGCAGCCAAGCAGCAGAGCTAAAATAATCATTTTCCTTTTCCATCCTTCTTCCTTCCCCAAAGCCCTTGGATACAATGCGTCTCCAGGCTCCTGTACAAAAGGGGTGCTTATGTATGTGTGGGTTGGAGGGGGAAGCAGAGAGACAAAATGTTTCCATTTGTCATGATGACATGATGGTACATATATTTTCCTTCTGCATTGTTATGTGACCTCTGCAGGGATTGAGAATGTCCTCCTTGTCCCCTGTCACACTGGGCTACACTGGTGATACTCAGCAGTCTCACTGGACACTGTGGGAAGGACTGCTAACAGAGTGACATGTAAAGAGAACATTCACAAGTGGGCAATGGAACAGCTGAGAGAATCAGAGACTTTAGCATCATGGTCAATCTGAGCTGGAAAACTTCTTGATACCATCTAGTCCAATTTCTCCTCTCCAAACCAGAATGTGGAACTTGTGTTTTGGAGACATTAGGCGACAAGATGAAGGTCAAACAAAGCAACTCCAAGCTACCATTCCAATGTGTACAAAAATTTTTTAAAATTTTTTCCATGATTTAACATAATTTCTATTTTAAGATCCTTTTCCATGGACTTAATCTGGTCAAATCAGGATCGCCTCCATCAAATCTGCATCTTCCCTCACCCCCTAGCCTCCCCACCCCCACCCCGCCATCCTCTCCATTCCCTGACATGTTAAGTTGCCTTTATGATACTGGTCCATGCAGGACTTTGCTAAGATGTCCATTACCCTGTGCTGCCCTTGACTACATACAGATCCTCACAGGTGCCCCCTAGCATTAACGTCTTCCTGGTCTCACAGCTTCCCGATAGCCCCTCGATTGCAGCTCTGCTCACAATCCTCTCGAGTGCAGTGGACGGTCAATATGGCGGCGCCCAGCACAGTCAGGTGCGGGAGACTCGGCCTTTAGCAGCAATGGCGACGCGAGGCCCAAAGAGCAGACCCCCAGGAGTCCACCGGTCAGGACGCAGCGCGACCTCAGCGTGACCACCCCTTACCCCAACACATTCTTACCTTCTTCACAAACAGCCCGTGGCGGAACAAGGCTCCGGAGGCTGTCGCCCTCCCCCGGTGCCGCCCTCAGGCTCCCAGCGTTGCTCTTCCGGGGGCAGCGGCTCCTCCGCAGGGGGCTTGGGCAACGCCCCGCCCCCACGACACCGCCAAGGCCTGCCGCAGAGGGCCATCACGGCGGGCTCTGCAGTGCCACACACCCCGCTCCAGAACCCATGAGTGAGGAGAGGGGCCAGCGGCTGCGGGAGGCCGTGTGGGCCGCCCTCCTGGCCAGCGGGAGGAGGTGGAGCAGATGAAGAGCTGCCTCCGAGTGCTGTCCCAGCCTATGTCCCCTCGGCTGGCGGCGCTGAGCTGGCCGCTGACCAGCAGGAGCGCGAGGGGGCCCTCAAGCTGCTGGCCGACCTGTGCGAGCAGCTGCACAAGGCCGCAGACTTCTGCCTGTCCGGCATGCACGTCCTGGTGCGCGGGTACCTGGAGGCGGGGGCCTGCGGGGCTGCGGGGC